GGGTTCTATAAGAAAGCAGGCTGAGAAAGTCATGAGGAGCAAGCCAGTAAGCAGCTCCCCTCCATGGCCTCTACATCAGCTCCTGCCTCCAGGATCCTACCCTACCTGAGTTCCTGCCCTCAGGGCTTTTGATGATGAACTGTTATGTGAACTGTGAGTGAAATAAACCCTTTTATTTATTTATTTTTTATTTTTTAAGATTTATTTATTTTGTATGCAGTGTTCTGTCTGCATGTATGCCTACAGGCTATAAGAAGGCACCAGATCTCATCATAGATGGCTGTGAGCCACCATGTGGTTGCTGGGAATTGAACTCAGGACCTCTGGAAGAGCAGCCAATGCTCTTAACCTCTAAGCCATCTCTCCCGCCCAAAATAAACCCTTTTTTAAAATTTGGTTTTGGTCATGGTATTTTATCACAGCAATACTAATCCTAACTAGGACAGGTGTGTTTTTAGATCACACAGCAGGAGGCGCAAAGGATTCGTGGATACTCTAAGTAGAGAAGGAAGGAAAATTACATTTTATAATGGTTGGTTTCTGGTGTATTGGAAGGAAACTTATGAATGGATTATGGACCAAATAAATTTCTTATTAAATTTTGGTTCCATTTATCCTGAAATACTCTTGGGTGTTCCGTATTGACAACAAGAAGATCTGCAAGTGTGGGCAGATGGTTTTCTTCCTTTTGTTGTCTCAGCGGCCTAGCCAAGAATTTCAGTGGAATTTTAAAGACATCCTTGACTCATTGCTAAAAGAAAGGTTTACTGTAACTTTTTGATTGACACTCTCCAACTTAAAGGTGTTTGTCTACCTTCAACTTGACCGAGTCCTTACAACGTGTCAATGAATTCTTGATAGTATCAAGAACTAGTTTTAGAAAGAGACTTGGTGTGTGTGTGTGTGTGTGTGTGTGTGTGCAGTGCCGGGAGAGTCTGGAAGAGCTGGAGATCCAGGCAGTTGATCTAACATAGGTGCATATGTACTGGGAACCAACTAATGATAAGATTGTTCAGTGTTTCCCTTTTAAACTGTATGTGTGATGAATTACCGTAATCCCTTTAATCAGCTTTCCTATGTACAAAAAGGTACAAAAGAAAACTCTGAACCCACTACTTAAGTGGATACCAAGTTTCTTCTTCTTAAGAAATAAGACATCTTGGACTTGTTAAAGCTATCATTCTATGCAGCCTTCCATTTCTTTAAAAATTTCAGTGCTCATTTCATATATTTTTTTAAATTACAGTTTATCTTTAACTTCTGAAGTAAGTCCAACCAGGTCATAATATTAAGTACCCTATTAATGATCATGTGGTTATAATATGAACTTGGTAAACAAACATTGGCAGGCTGTATCCTTGAAAATTGTAGTTAGCAAACCTAACCAACCAATTAAATAACTAAGTAAATATCAACTCTCCTGCCTCCCTGCCGCCACTTTTTCCCTTTCCAGGAGCACCATCTGTGTGTGTGTGTGTGTGTGTATATGTGTGTGTGTATGTGTATATGTGTGTGTATGTGTATATGTGTGTGTATGTGTATATGTGTGTGTATGTGTGTGTGTATGTGTGTATGTGTGTGTGTATATGTGTGTGTGTGTGTGTATGTGTGTATGTGTGTGTATATGTGTGTGTGTGTGTATGTGTGTGTGTGTGTGTGTGCCTGTGCATGTGTTCACAGACGCCAGACAAGGACGTTGGTTGTGTTGTCCTATCACTTCCTGCTGTATGCCTTTGCGGGAGGGTCCCCTCCCCTGATAAAGACTGGTGGCCGCTCAGCCCGGTCACTACCCCTGCACTCAGTCCTGGTGTGGCAGGCATCCCTGTGCGGGGCCTGAGCTCTAAGTGGGTGATGACATTGGCGCTCAGGTCCTGACGTCTGTGCTGTAAGCACTCTTACCTGCCGAGCCACCACATGCAACATACTACACACGCACGCAGACACACGCATGCAGACACAGGCACATAGACACAGGCACACGCACTCACACATGCACGTGCACACACACAAGCCTTTCTTTGGGGGACACAGTCTCTCACTGGCCTGAAGCTCCTCGACCAGCTGATAGCCACCAAACTGCAGGGACCCGCCTGCCTCCCCAGCACGAGGTCCCAAGCCACACCACCACATCTGCCGTTTCCTCCTGGGTTCTGGGACCACTCACGCCCTTGTGCAAGGCAGACAGCTTACGGACTGAGCCATCTCCTTAACTCCCATAAATTTGGGTGTACTTTATTGGAATAATATATGCCCTTGAAAATTCGTGATGAAGAGCTGCATAAACTAAGATAAATGAGCTGAAATCACGAGAAAGAAAAAGAGAACAAGGTGCAGTCACATGCGGTGATGGAATCTGCACACGGTTTAAGGCATGTAAATGACGGTGTAATTACTTAAGGAGCGTGCACATGGAGTACGTGTATGACAGTGGAGGGGGCGTTTGTGTAACTCCTAACCTCATTATCACACACCCCGGGAAGGACAGAAGGGGGACACAGAGAGATGGCTCAAGTTGTATCTGTAATGTCTTATTTGTTTAAAAAAATAGTTGTAGAGTTATTTAGACCAGACATTAATGTTAGCGGCACTAATGCCTTTTAGATTGTTCTCTATCCAGTTTCGTATCCTAGAACAGTTAATAATTTCAATTAATTAATCACCCGTGTCTGCACACTTAATACACATGCAGAGTTCAGAGGACAGTATATAGGAGTCAGTTCTCTTCTTCCACTGCATGTGTCTGGGCCCCAGGGGTTGAACGTGTGTGTCAAGCTTGTCCCCTAACCATTGAGCCACCTTGCACACCAATGCTTCATAACTTTGAAAGCCGCATGTTTGCTGCCACCGTGGTCGCGTTGACCAGAACTGGACATGTGCTCTCCCGCTTTTCCCTGCAGATGATTGTCCGCTTGCAAAAGGAGATTGCAGATCTGAAGGCGGAGCTGGCCGTGGCCACCGGGGAGTTGAGGACAGAGGCACTCACCGAAGCAGAGCTCCATCAGTAAGCACAGACCTGCTTCTCTTTTCAACAGAGAAACCATTGAGTTCTTTGTCCAGCTCAGAGCCTGCTTAGGTCTCCTGGAGAGGTCAGAAACCACACCGAGGTACCAGTGAAGAGAGGGGGTTCTCCATGGGAAGTGGGTCCAGGCTGGCAGCATCTCTGGTGCCTGGGAATGCCTGTCCCAGGCCAGCTGCTGAGAAGGGGCTGCAGACTGAGTGTGCCATTCCACATTACATACACCGATGCTCCGAGCTGTGGGTCTCAGATCTGCAAGGGATTTGAGAAGCATCCCTTGTATTATACTCACGTTGCTTCAGGCACCAGTGTCTGTCATGCCAGCATTGCGTCTCTTCTTTTGTAAGTACATGGCCCTTGTATTACAGTTCAAAACTCATGTTTGGCACAAAAGCCTGCGTTCAGGACTTTGTAGAAGCTGGTGTTGTCACACCAGTGAGGTTTGCAGCCGCGTGGTGCGTTGTCATTTGTTACGACTGTGAGCGGTGGAGCCGGGCTCTGTTTCTCTGTGACTATGAGCTGTGGAGCCGGGCTCTGTTTCTCTCTGACTGTGAGCTGTGGAGCCGGGCTCTGTTTCTCTGTGACTGTGAGCTGTGGAGCCAGGCTCTGTTTCTCTCTGACTGTGAGCTGTGGAGCTGGGCTCTGTTTCTCTCTGACTGTGAGTGGTGGAGCCGGGCTCTGTTTCTCTGTGACTGTGAGCTGTGGAGCTGGGCTCTGTTTCTCTGTGACTGTGAGCTGTGGAGCCGGGCTCTGTTTCTCTGTGACTGTGAGCTGTGTGGCTGGGCTGTTTCTCTCTGACTGTGAGCTGTGGAGCCGGGCTCTGTTTCTCTGCGACTGTGAGCTATGGAGCTGGGCTGTTTCTCTCTGACTGTGAGCTGTGGAGCTGGGCTCTGTTCTGGGTGGTTCATTAAGGTTTCTGTGATGCAGACAGTGGACTAGGCTGAGAAGGCACTAGTGGGCTCCATTTTCAAATGAGAAGTAGAGCTGGGCTGGGGATGCAGCTCAGTCCTAGAGAGCTTGTCCAGCATATGTGACTGCCGGGTTCCGTCCCCTGGCACTGCACAGATTCAGCATGGAGTTGCACACCTGTAATATCCACACTGGGAGGTGGAGGCAGGAGGATCGTAAGTGCAAGATGATCTTGGCTATGTGGTGAATACAAAGCCAGCCTGCAGATGCATGAGGCCATGTCTTTATTTTATCTTATTTTTATTGAAAATTGATTTTGTCATATGATATATTCTGATTACAATTTCCCCTCCCCCCAACTCATCCAAGACTCCTGACCTCCACACCACTGGTCAAGCCCTTTCTTTCCCTCTTGGAAGACAAACAGGCTCACGTTCTGATTTGTTTGCTTGCATTCTTTTTCTACCTTTTAGAGACCATGTCTTAAAAAGAAGATGACGTTCTGTGAGATCTTTCTAAAGACACAGTGCCACATCACCAACTCTCTCTCAAAAGGGAATTGGTGAAGAAAAAAGGAAACAGATCTCTTTGAACTGCTGTGTATTGAGGCTGGCATCAGGGCTGGGCAGATAGCGATGCTGCTGCCATGTCTAATGTCTGAGTTTAATCCTGGACTCAGGGCAGAAGGGGAGAGTGATGTTCTTTGACTGCCTTCTTCCCACTGTGACATACACGCACCCCCAACACACACACCATACACACACACACCCCATCACTACACACATACACACAACACACCCCACACACATACCATATATATACACACCCCACACACATACCATATATATACACACCCCACTCACACCCCATACACTACACACACACACACAACACACACACACGTACATATATCACACACATACCATACTACACCCACAGCACACACATACACACACACCCACATGCACCACACACACACACACACACACACACACACACACAATCACACAATGTGTTTTAAAAAATAAACTATTGGCTACCTGCCTGTGAGGTCTGACTAAAGTGTGGAAACTCTTCATTGACTTTCTGCTGTAACAAAGCTCCTTCCTCTGGGACCATGCTTCCTAAGTCTGGAGTTTAATGACATGAGAGCTTCCCTGACAGCACTGGCGTAGCGTGTGTGAAATGAAAGTTAAATACGCTCTCCCAATTTAGTTACTAAGAATTTCATGTCAGGACTGGAGAGCTGGACCAGCAGTTAGGAGGTTCCTAGTTCAGTTCCCAGCAACCACATATCAGCTCACAACTACTGTGACTCCAGCCCAGGGGATCTGGTGCCCTCTCCTGGCCTCCAGGAGCACTGCATACATGTGGTGCACATATACACAGAGAGACAAACACACACACAAAGCAAAAACAAACAAAAATAATGTTACTCCTTAAAGTGACTCAAGATGTCCTTGATCCCGAGGGGACTCAGCTGAGAGTCAGGCCATCGTGGTGCTCCCACTCCTCAAAGAAAGGATAGTGTTATCTTGCCAAGTATCACCACATCTGGTCCAGCCAAGCAAACAGAACCTCGTAGACCGTGCAGCAGAAGGAATCTGACACAGGGAAATGAGTATACAAAGGATGATCAGTAAGTCATCCTGGGGATCAGTGACAGTAGGGGCCGGGTGACAGTGTGACAGCGTGACAGAGTGGAATCTCCTTTACTGTAATGGTGTCTGGAAGTCAACTTTGGGGAGGCAAGTTTTATTTTTATTTAGCTCATGGCTTCAAAAGTTTGTGTTTCTGTGCCTGGCGTGTGGCAGATCATCATAGCAGATGGACACAAGAGAGCATAGCTACTTAACTCACGATGGTGTCCAGCAAGCAGAGAGAGAGGCACGGGCCAGGGCAAGATAAAGTCCCCAAGGACCGCCCCGCCCCGCCCCGCCCCGTGACCCACTTCTTCCAGCCCTGCTTCCTAAAGTCCCCAGCATTTCCTGAAATAGCACATAGGCTAGAGACCAAGCTTTGGACAAAAGAGCCGCAAGGGATGCTATTCAAACATAGCAGTGGTATCACCAAGAACCAAGAGCTAGCACTGCCCTGCAGGTGCTAGAGCAGGGTGCCCTGTGCGAAGAACCACAGCTGCTGTTAGGGACACCACCCAGCAGGCAGCCCTGGCCTTCCGCTCATCCCAGTTCCCGTCTCCCATCGGCATTCAAATTGGCTGAACTTATCCAGAAGCCAGTTATTAAGCAAGTCAGGGAGTCTGGTTGCCTCTGATTCTGAGCCGGGTAGGGGAAGAGTAGAAATTGGCTTTTAAGGCAACATATGATATAATACTAGTGCCCTCTTCAATTCCTGTGCCCTGGTGTAGCTTAGGAGGCTCAGATGAAGGGTAAGCTTTCCCATGTGATGCTTTGGATATGTCGGACTCCATTGTAAAGAAGCACAGATGTCTCTAGCCACACTTAAAATGGAGAAGTGGAGTTACCAGGGGGCAAGAGGCTTGAGGAACCCCTGAGATGGTGCCAAGTTAGGGCTTGGACAGGGAAACCAAAGGGGTTGGCAAAACACAGGGCAGTGTGGTGAGGGCTCCAGGTGCAGGGGTGCTGATGGAGGAGGGAGCTTGGAGCAGCCAGCAGCATTTGGGATTGCGAGATGGTCAGTGTGTAAAGGTGCTTGCCTCAAAGCCTGATGACCTGTGTTAACCCCTGGAGCTGCTGTAAGGGGAGGAGGAGGAGGGAACCAATTCCACAGAATCGTCATCTGACCTCCACATGCAAACCATTGTTCTCTCTCTCTCTCTCTCTCTCTCTCTCTCTCTCTCTCTCTCTCCTTCTCCCCCCCCCACACGCATATACACATACCACACCACTGATAATAATAAGAAGAATAGTAGTAGTAATGAATTAAAATAGGCATTTCAAAAGAACAGGTTCTGCACACAGTCATTGTGTAGAAAACATTCAGAAAACCTTAAAAATATAGGAAGGATCCAGAAGTTACCAGAGGAAACAAAAGTCAAGAATCTGATTTATAACAGATTTTTCATCAGCAACTTTGGAAATAAGGACTGGTAGTAATTTTTAAAAAATAAAAAACACTTCAAATGTATTTTCTAGATCTAGAAAAATTAATACTAAAAGTAAAGATGAAATAAAGGCATTTTGCAGACATGCAAACTTTCAGACAGAACCTAACCCTTCCTCCTGGAACTACCATGGTCTGTATATTAGCAAAAAGAAGCTTGCAATAAAGGGTAGGAAGCAATAAGGATGAGCAAATGTGTTTACAACATCTCCGTGGCACTTGGTGTTATATAATATCTACATTATGCCATTTATTAGCTCTCCTGTTCTCCCATATATGAATCTGCCGGTTTAAAACCCACCGAAGGGCTGGAGAGATGGTGAAGGAATTGAGAGTTATTGTGCTCAATTAGAAGACCCGAGTTCAGATAAGCACCCACACCAGGCAGCTCACACTTGGCTATGGCTCCAGTTACAAGGTATCTGATGCCCCCTGCTGGCCCCCATGGTTATCTGCAAACACATGCGCATATACACACACACACAAATTTTTTTTTTTAAGTCCTGGAAATTACAACCAAATGTCCATTGCCAGGAGTTGGGGGTGGGGAGAGTGAAGGGAAATGAAATTGTGACAACAAATTAAAATACCGAAGGACCTTAGGTCTTATAAGGTTTCTGTAAAACCATCAATACAGATATGCAAATGTCAATCTAGACAGATCCAGCACAGAGGGTCTTCAGGGCTGGCATCCTTTTTAGTGTGTAATTAGTATTTTCATTCATCTAACATTTGTTATTTATCTTGTGATCACAAAAGCCCTGCCATGGGCTCCGAAAGGAATGCAGAGACAGACAAAGCCTCGAGCTCGCTCTCCTGGGGCCCGCAGCTCAGGGGTGGTGACAGACATGAGCAGAAGGGATGATGTAGTGATTAAGCACCATGAGAAAGTAGAAACGGGACAGGGTGAGGAATTGGCAATAGCAACAGTTGCTCCCGAGCTCAGGGCCTCACGGAACTAGGTCAAGTGCTACTGACTGTAAACCTGGCAG